GCTCACCTGAGCCAAAAGCTCAAGTGAGCTTTTCTGATCAAAATTTGTCCGTTGTCTGTCGTTGTTGTTGTTGTTGTAAACTTTTCACATTTCATCTTCTTCTCAAGAACCACAGGGCCAATTTCAACCAAACTTGCTACAAAGTATACTTGGGTAAAGGGGATTCAAGTTTGTTCAAATGCCCTTTTCCAAGGGGAGATAATTATGAATTAGAGAAAAATTAATGGCATTTTAAAAAAATCTTCTCCTCAAAAACCACTGGGCCAGGAAAGATGAAACTTAGGTGGAATCATCCTCAGGTAGTGTAGATTCAAATTTGTTCAAATCATGACCCCCAGGGGAAGGGTGGGGCCAAAAATGGGAGATCAAAGTTTTACATAGGAATATATAGGAAAAATCTTTAAAAATCTTCTCAAGGATACTGGGCCTGGATAGATGAAACTCATGTGGATTTTTCCTCAGGTATTTGAGATTGAAGCTTATTCAAATCATGACCCCCGGGGGTAGGGTGGGGTCAAAATGGCCGATCAAAGTTTTACATAGGAATATGCAGGAATTTTTTTTTTAAAATCTTCTTCTCAAGAACCATTGAGACAGGAAAGATGAAACTCATTTGAAATTATCCTTAGGTAGTGTAGATATAAGTTTCTTCAAATCATGATCCCCGGGGCTAGAGTAGGGCCAAAATGGCCGACCAAAGTTTTACATAGGAATATAAATTATATATAGGGAAACCTTTTTAGGTCTTCTTTTCAAGTGCTTCAAAGCCATGATTATAATATTTATATTGAATCATCTTCAGGTAGTGTAGATTCTAGTTAATTCGTTCAAATCATTATTCCCATGGGTGTTTAAATTCAAGCACCTCCCCCACCTCAGTAAACTTTCAGTTCTGATCTGATATGTGCTTTTTCCTACCCGATATGCTCAGGTGAGCGCTGTGGCCCCTGGGCCTCTTGTTTGAGAATAAAATTTTGTATAAATACAAAAAAAAAATTCATAAATTTTGATTTATTGTAAATGGGTTTTTTTCCAACGATAGTAAGTTATGACTTATAATAATAAAAAAAACTTTGAAACTTCCTTTTAGTGTGGACATTGCATAACGTTTGATAAAACGGCAAACATTTTAAGAAAAACAGAGAGAATCTGCGCAGATCATCCAAAAAGTTGCCCTCCAATTATAAATCGAAGGATTTATATAAATGTGAGTATTATCTATGTGGATGGAAATATACACATGATAATATGGCTAACTGAGAACCTTTTTTATTCTACATTTATGAAGTATGTGGAATTTGTGGTCAGTTTTAAAATTATCATCTCTCATTTATCGGTATGTAAAAACATCATTTGCTTCAAATTGTTGACATGACAGATAACTGATTTTTTAATTAAGAATATTTTTTCCTTTCTTACTTAATAAATTAATTTTTAGCTTACTGGTCAAGCCAGAAGAGCTTATGCGATAGTAATGCGTCCGTAGTCCGTCCGTCTGTCTCTGTCTGTCTGTCTGTAAACAATTTTTCAAAACGCTACTTCTCCTACAATTTTATCTGATTTAATATTACTTGGCACACAAGTAGACTACACTAAGATACATAGAAACATGGTTTTTAATTTCAATAAACAATGTTGCCATGGTTACTAAAAGTAGAATTTTCTGTGAAATTCCTTTAAAAGCTACCCCTTTTAAAGTTTTGGTCTGGTGAACGGTGTTGCCATGGTTACTAAAAATAGAATTCTCTGTAAAATTCTTTAAAACACTACTCCTTCTACAGTTTTGCTCTGATTTCAATATAATTCACACAAGAACTACACTAAGATACATAGAGTAGTGCATGGTTTTGATTTCAAAAAAAGGGTTGCCATGGTTACAAAAATGGGATTTTCTGCAAAATTCTTTAAAAGCTACTCCTCCTAAATTTTGATTGATTACAAAAACTTTGCACACAAGTAATCACTAGGGACATAAAAGTGCATCGGTTTTTGATTTCGATTAATGAGCAGCCATTTATAAAATTAGAATTTCCTGTGAAATTCCTTTAAAATGCTACTCCTCCTACAGTTTTGATCTGATTTCAGAAAACTTGACATACAAGTAGACTACACAAGATACATATAATAGTGCATCGGTTTTTGATTTCGATGAACGGTGTTGCCATGGTTACAAAAAATAGAATTTTCTGTAAAATTCCTTGAAAATAGGCCATGGTACTTTTACCCATCAATGGAATTCACTAAACCTGCTTCATAAAACATTTTGGCGAAAACCCGACTAAAATTGGTACCCCTTTTCAAAGATAATCAATGTTAACGTCTGATTTGCACCTGTAAAACATAATAATTTGACAATGTCATTTCCCGGGTTTTAAAATGCAATAATTAAATGACGTCACAAGTGTTTGCTTCCCTCAAGTGAGAGGTGAATAAATGACAAAAACGCTGTTTGGATAATTCGATAGTCCATTAGAGAAAGAATCGCTAGAAATTTCTAGTGATCGTATGTTTTAGGGGATTCATTGCTGTGCAATAATATAAATATTGGGGAGTAAACCCCTTTCTTAAGCCCTACCTCAAACGAAATCGACCAAAAGGATGTGAACCCGAGGAAGCAAACGTTTGCATACTATTTATGTTTATAATACTATTACATTGTAATTGGTATGTGAGTAAACATAATAAATTTTCTCAAGTAGCATTTTAAATCATTTTTTTAAAAAAATATATTAAATAAAAACAAATTCGACACATTACCTATTTAACCCCCCCCCTAAAACGTTAACTATAAAGGCCTAAACAGCTGCCAACATGAATAATGTTAGTCCCTATATTTTAATTTTGCGTTCTTTTTTTTCATTTGTTGTGGTTTAAAAAATTTTTTTTCATTGTTTTTTTTTTTATGATTTGCCATTTTCTTTTTTTTAACAAATGACCCCAGCCCCTCCAGTAAAAATGGATGCATACTTTTTAAAATTAATTTAGAACAAAGTCGCGTTACTTCGCTGCTTGCAGTGGTATAAATTTTAAAAGATAAAAAAAGTATGTTTTACAATTTTGTAAAAAAAAAAAAAAAAAGTTTTTATATCATATCAAAAAAAATTAGGAATTAAATTTGTTAAGCCTAAAAAAAAAAAAAAAAAAAAAAGGTTATAATTACATATATACCAGAGATTAGGCTTGAAAAACACAATCAATTCGAAGTCAGATGTTAAATTCACTTTGAAGAACTTAAATTGTTAAAATAAATTACATGTATAATCTGTTTTTATGTGCCACCTTATTCACGTGTTTGTACGCTGTTTCATGCAAAAATTCAATATTGAACAAGTAATTCCCCTATGACATTTACCGGACCTCACAGATGTCCAACTAAACATTATGGTAATATAGAAGTTATAAAGTTACAACATGTAAATTAAATAATCAATTAAATTCATATTCAGTTGGAACAAGACAATTTTAAAAAAATATGGGTGAAAAGGGTCTCACCCCGAAAATCCAAACAATATAATTTGAACAAAAGGAACATTTTTTTATTTACTGTTTTACGGGAGCCCACCCAATTTGGGGTAAAATAAATAAAAATAAAATCTCTTCTTCAAGTTTTTTTTTTGTTTCTCCGATAGCTTATTTATAGCCCTGAAAAAAAAAACAAACGTCATAAATTTTTTAACAAGCCTTTCAAAACGTAAATTGTCAGGCTAAGGAAATTACCATCCAATCAAGTTGGAAAAACAATGACCATGAATGTGAAGCGTGGATAGGCACTGCACAGCATGAAAGTTGGGCAAAATGTCAGTTCTGTAATCCTTTGTTTTAAAGGTTTTTTGTAGATTATTTTTGTTTAAAAGCATTGAAATACGACTTGAAGATTCTTCTAAATTATTTTAAATACAAAATGTTTTCTTTTACTTGTAAAAAAAAAACAGAACACTGTAAAAAGTGGCTTGACTGAGGAAATTGAGTCACAACTGCCATCGTTAAATATATGTTTATCACACTTATTACAATTAAAAAGGGAAATTTTTACTTGCTATTAAAAATAAACACATAGTGTGGCTAAAACAGCTCTTTCTTTGAAAAAAACCTTTTTACCACAAGGGAAAAACAAAGGACAAATATACGTCCATACAGATATGACCTGCTTTTTTTAATTTAAAAATTGTGAATTAAAAGTTTTTAAAATTTTAAATTCTGCAGAAAACAGAATAATTGTCATAGTCTATTTTGCATGAAACTTATGGTTTTACATGAGTGCATTTTCTAAAACAGTAGTTGCAAGCTGTAGCATTGAGGCAATTTCAATTTGTACATTTTATCCACCTATTTGAAATTGCTTTTAAAAAAAAACACATATTTTTTTTAAAGTCTCACTTGTGAAATAATTTTAACCTCCTTAAAACCTCCTATTTGCTTGCCATATGATAGCTATGTGATGTTGTAAATTTTAAATTTCCCGGGTGGCAGTAAATACAAAATTTATTTTGTTTTTTGTATTTACTGCCACCTGGTAAACCCCAAAATTTACAACATGACAGCTACTCAAAAATCCTAAAATCTTATTTATTTTTTGATTACCCAAAAATTATGATAAAATTGTTTTGCATGCATTAATTTTTCAAATAACACCCTTTTCCTAAAAATTTTTGGGAAAAAAAAATTCCATTCTTAAATTAAAAAAAAAAAAATAAATTGTTACATTTGTTTTTTTATTTTTTTTCTACCACTGCTTGAATTTGGAGATTTTATTTTTATTTTTATTTGACCCCCCACTCAAATTTTTGAAAAAAATTCCTGAAAACAGTAAATAAAAAAATGTTGGCCTTATTCAGTGAAACTGAGTAGATTGGGCAACAGGCTAAGCCCAAGAACCCCCTCTATATAACAGGTCAAGGTTACAATACAAAACATAGTGGGTTTACAGGTAGCTTCACTAGCTTGTGACTGTAAGCAAAAGTTTGAATTATTTGGATAGACAGATTTATGCATAATACACAATGGCAATCTTGGGTTATTCCGCTACACTCCATTCAAACACAGGTATACGAGCCATCCAAGGTGTTATGCCATACAACCCCCCCCCCCCCCCCCCCCCAACCCACCCCCAATAAATTTAAAAAAGACAAATAAATAATCAATTTAATAAAAAAAAACTTTTTTTTTTTTTTAAATCTTCTTTAATTTTTATTCTTATAGTTATGACAGGGTGGGTAAATCTTAAAATAAAAATGTCGAAATTTTTTTTATTCCTGATTAAAAAAAAAAAAATAATCATATGCCGTAAACAGACAGGTATAGAAAGGTATAGAAAGGAATTTAATTTGGGGGAAATGGTTTTTTAAAAGGTTATTTTACAGAGAAAAAAAATGAAGTCAACAGGCAATATTTTTAAAGAGTTCACAAGCGTAAATATACATGTAAGCAGTGATTAAATACAATGGCAGTGTAAATTGAGATACACTCTAGGTCTAGTAACACTAAGAAGAGGGCTGCACAGCTTCCAAAAATCAAGTTATCATGATCCTCTACAAATGCCATTATGATTAGAAAGAATACGGAACTAATGAGGTTTGAAAATCTACATGCACCCTGCACTTTACTATGATGTGAATTTCAAAAAATGAGCGGCACTTATTACAATGTAATTATAAATATATGAGCGATGTTTTTTTTAGAAGGGGGGGGGTGCTGCTTGTACCAGGTTTTCAAAGTTATGGTGAATAAAAAAAAAAAATTAAATGTGTAAAAACTAAAATGGAGAAGCAAAATCGAAAAGAAAAATAAAATAATTAATTCTAAAAATTTAGAGAAAAAAAAAAAAAAATCGGAATTAATTATTAAAGGCTTTCCCTTTTTCCCTTTGTGATAAAAAACTTGCCATCCAAAAAAAAAAAAAGGGGGTGCTGGATGAAGGGGGGGGGGGGGAATCAAACCATCTTTTTTAAATTCATGAGCCCAGAATATAAGTTTTTAAGAGATGAAATTAGGCCTTTTCAGAAAAAAAATTAACTACTGCCTGCAACGTTAAAGGGTTTGATTTTAAATTTTACATGAACTAATGCTTGTTACAATATTCTGCATGTCACACTTGTGACGTCACACACGTCACTTCCGGTAAACAGCTCATTTCACTGCAAGCTCACAGGTGTAAACAAAGCTATTTTTCCTGAATATCTCTAATCAGCAAGAGAGATGGTAGCTGTGCTGTATATCATTTTACTCGTATTTATAATGACTATCGAACTATGTTAAAATGTAAAACCTACCAAGCCTTTCTTTAAAACGCTACTCCTACAGTTTTGGTCTGATTTCAATATAACTTGGAACACAAGTAGATTACACTAAGATACATGGAAAAGTGCATCAGTTTTTGATTTCGATGATTGGTGTAGCCATGGTTACTAAAAATAGAATTTCCTGTGAAATTTCTTTAAAACGCTAGTCCTTCTACAGTTTTGGTCTGATTTCAATATAACTTGGCACACAAGTAGACTACACTAAGATACATAGAATAGTGCATTGGTTTCTGATTTCAATGAACGGTGTCACCATGGTTACTAAAAATAGAATTTTCTGTGAAATTCCTTTAAAACGCTACTCCTTCTGCAGTTTTAGTGTGATTTCAATATAATTTGGCACACAAGTAGACTACACAAAGATGAAATAGTGCAATGGTTTTTGATAAGTACAAACCAGTAGAGCTACAGTCTCGACAGAGACTTCTGGTTGTTTAAGTTGGGGATATTGATATGATTGTGTATGTCCATCATTCTTTATCTATCTGTATCTCATTAATATTTATAAAAATCTTGAGACATTTGTCAAGATACATTTATGGTCTTCATCAGAAGACCCTTCTATTATTCTTTTTTTTCTTTTTCACTTTTACTAAGGTCTTCTGTTTTCAGTGAAAGACCTTTCTATTATTCTTTTGTTTCATTTTCACTTTTATTAAGGTCTTCCGTTTTCATGGAAAGACCCTTCTATTATTCTATTGTTTCAGCCCCGTGGGGATCCGGGTTAGAATAGGTCCTCAGTACCCCCTTTCTTGTCGTAAAAGGCGACTGAATGAGGCAGTCCTTTGGATGAGACCATATAAACCGAGGCCCCCTGTCACAGCAGGTGTGGCACGATAAAGATGCCTCCCTGCTCAAAGGCCATGGGAGTGCCAAGAATAGACCTAAATTTGCAGCCCTTCACCAGCAATGGTGATGTCTCCATATCAGTGAAATATTCTGGAGCGGGACGTTAAACAGTATACAATCAATCTATTGTTTCATTCTCACTTTTATTATTGTTCTAGACTTCCTTTTTTTCTTACAATTTTTGTGCAAGAGATTTCTCAAAGAGGCATGGACGGATTTCTTTGAAATTTTCAGAGATGATGTACATATCATGATGTACACCTCATCCGTTTTTTATACCCCCCGCAAATGAAGTTTGGGGGGGTAATTAGGAAACACCTTGTCCGTCTGTCCGTCCGTCCGTCTGTCAAGCTGTCTGTCCGTCTGTAAATTTTTCACATTTTCGACTTCTTCTCAAGAACCACTGGGCCAATTTTGACCAAACTTGGTACAAAGCATCCTTGGTTGAAGGGGAATTAAGATTGTGAAAATGAAGGGCCAAATCCTCTCACAAGGGGAGATAATCAAGTAAAGACAAAAATAGGCAGGGTTCATTAAAAAATCTTCTTCTCAAGAACCACTGGGCCAGAAACGCTGATACTTATGTGGAAGCATCCTGGGGAAGTGTAGATTCTGAATTTGTAAATTCATGACTCCCGGGGATAGGGCCGGGCCAAAATGGGGAATCAAAGTTTTACATAGAAATATATAGGAAAAATCTTCTTCTCAAGAATCACTGGGCCAGAAAAGCTGAAACTTATGTGGAAGCATTCCTCAGTAGTGCAAGTTCTTAATTGTTAAAATCATGACCAAGGGCGGGGCCACAATAGGGGAATCAAACTTTTACATAGAATTATATAGGAAAAATCTTCTTCTCAAGAACCATTGGACCAGAAAAGCTGAAACTTATGTGGAAGCATCCTGGAATAGTGAAGCTTTGAAATTGTTCTAATCATGACCCCCTGGGGTAGGATGGGCCACAATGGGGAATCAAAGCATCCTATGGTAGTGTAGATTTCAAATTGTTTAAATTATGATCAGTGGGGTAGGGTGGGGATCACAATATGTAATTGTCCTGTTAAATCTCCTGTGTTGGATACTAATAGTTGAACTCTTGTTTATTGTCACTATCTAATTTTACTGCAATTTTTACAGCTTCCTACATGATCACGCTGTGTAGAAAGATTTTGGAATGTATTCGAGAGGAGCGAAGAAGAAATGATGCAGCAGACAACTCGCTGAGTGATGCTCACAATAGTGAGGAGGTAAGATATGACTCAATAAGCAACTCACTGAATGATGCTCAAAACAGGTATGAAATGACTCAGTATAAAAAATTGTGACACTCAAAAGAGTGAAAAAGAAAAAAAAATCTCATTTTTACAACTCACTGAGTTACACATAGAATGGAGGAGATAAGAAACAACTACTCAGAAAAATTATTAAATATTTCACTTAGTGATGCTTAGAATGTTAAGGAGATTAAATATGATTCCTTTCGATTTATGGCATCTCTTTGAATTCTTAATCTTTTCCTATTGTATGTTAATTAGGAGGAGGAATTGACTGTTCACAACACGACTGTGATGAAGGGACTGATTGAGGTCATCGTCATCTTGTGGTACAACATCTCGTCACGACTACAGGAAGTAAGTTATACACGTAGTAATGGATGTCAGAAAGTGAGAGAAAAATATTATAGACAGGTCCTGTTAAAGGAGATCTTATTTACTCTACTGTGTTTAAGTATCATTTACAAGACAGACAACTTGAAGTCATTTTCCTTTCTACAGCTTTTAATGATATTCATTCATGAAATTTTTTTTTTAAAAAATTCATATGTTTAAAACATGTATAAACATGCCCTATGATACTAGACAAAAAAAAAAAATCAGGAAGCACTAATCTTACTTAAATTCATGTTATTTTGTTTAGAGTAAGCACAAGAAAATAGAACAAGATCTTCAGCAGAAATTTTGCTTGGCAGTTCCTGAGATGTTGAAAACATTTGAGGTAAATGATCACCAGAGGTTTTCTTAACGAAATTCAATATAAATTGTTTTCTTGAATTTCCATAACACCAGATCAATTATGTTTCTTGTAATTAGCTAATTAAAATGTTGATACATTTCAGGACCCTGAGATCTCCTTGGCTGTCATTTTGTTGGCAGGTCACCTGCCCTCCAGTTCTGTGCCACTTCTCAGGTTAGAAGGAAAATCTGTCATATTTTTTAACATGCTCATTCTGAGAAGATTTTTGAAAATCCGACAATTGATTGCAGTTCTCTGCTTATTCTGATCTGTCAAATGAGAACAGTTCCATACCTGGTCTGCAGTAATGTGTATTCTTAAAAAAAACCTTCAGATTAAGTCATTGTGGAGTAACATAATATTTTTGGTTTTTAATTCAAGTAAAAATATTATATAACTGAGAAAGACAGTGATTGATTTAATCTCTGAAATGTTTTATCAAATGTTGAGAAAAGATATGAAAAATATACATGTATATAAACATGCAAGTAAATGTACATGTATGACTGAGGAAAATAGAAGAACTCTACAATTGAAGGTAGGAATTGAAAATTTTCATAATTTTAATTTATAAGATATAAAATAGGAATATACATGTAATTTACCAACTAACATTAAATTTGCTGCTCCAAACAAAGGAAAATATAAGTATAACTGACAGTGAATGATATATATGAAGTTCTCATTCCCCATTATATCTGTTTTACAGTCGTAGCTGTTTGTCCAAGCTTAAGAAGATGACGTCGGACACAGAGGAGGCCCACTACGGCTGTCTGCTGGAGGCCAAGTGTAAGTGGAACAAACTGGACGATCTAATGGAACAAATCCAGGAGTGGATCTCATCCGGCTTTAGGGGTGGAAAGAAGGAAAGCTCAGCCAAGGTCAGTCACAGTGGTCCCTGAGAAAATAACCACAGTTCATGGATAAATTAAGTAATTAATTTGTATGAAGCTGATCTATGTGAAATATTGGAACGGTTTGAGTAATAAATTTGTATTTAGCTAATCCAAGTGAAATGTTTGTACAGTTTGAGTAATTAATTTTTATTAAATCTTAATTTATTTTGGATTTACAGAAAGGTAAAGACAAGAGGAAGTCGGTGACGTTTGCGGAGGAGGGGAACCAGTTTGGACCGGTTCTGGCGGTCCGTTATCTGACGTATCTCATCACTCACCCTGTGTGTCGGGCGGCCATTATGACTCACCACACCGAGGGTTTACATCAAATACAGGAACTCCTACATCAGTCTCTGGTAAGTACAACTCCTACATCAGTCTCTGGTAAGTACAACTCCTACATCAGTCTCTGGTAAGAGCTGACATGTACATACAGGTTTATTTGTACATATGTGTACAATGGTGTGCCTTATAAAACAGAATGTGAAATCACTGTGAGTTTGTGAGTGCAAAGGCAAAAAAAAAAATCAATAATGATTGTTTTCAGTAAATAAAGTATTACTGTTACACCTCCATTTATATGTGTTTTTCAATAAAAATAATGTTTCTGAATGAAAATTTTTAAAATTGTCTTACCTATTTTTCAACTGTTTTTCTTTCTTCTACTGCTACCTTGTATTGTAATGCACTGTTCCTGTATAATCTGTGTATTCCTATTCAAGATAAAACTTGTACATTGTTGTGTATAATCTGTATATTTAATGACAAGGTAATACATGTACATTGTATTTTCTGTGTATTACAGGATCACATACAGAACAGAATAGAGGGACATAGATATATAGTGACAAATCTTCTTGCCAGAACCACTGGGCCAGGTACTTCTCTATGTATTTAAGGCTGACTTTGCTACTGCATGCTCAGGTACAGTCAGTTATTACATAGGTAATCATGTATGCTTGTCTTTACTTAGACTCAAGAGTAAAGATTGTTCCGTTTTGAAGAAATCAAACACGCAGCATGTGCAGGGCAACATCAGTTAAATTAGTTTAAGTAATTCACTTTAAGAGTGTATAATGCTTTTTTTGTGTTTTATTAGAAGAAATTAATGCATATTAGTTAGCATAGCCAATTTAATCACTTCAATAAATAGTATATAAACTTCTTTCTTACAATACATATATTTTACAGGAGGATTTTGATGCCATGTCTGTTCTCAGTTCTGTAATGGATTGGACAGAAGCAGAGATTCTACCCAATGTCAACTCATCTGATACAGAAATAGAGAGTAGAAGTCACAGAAAACGCTCCGTCACGTCAACTCAGACCAAACATACCCTCTGTACACAGATTGTCAAGGTAAAGGGCTGAATTCTCTCGGAATACAGATTATAAAGATAAAGACATGAAGTTGAGTTTAGCCAAAAATCTACTTCAGAAAAATCTATTACACACAAATTTATTTATTAAAATAGTTGCAAAAATGAACAAAATTTATTCAGTATACATGTATCATGCACTGTTTAAATGATAATTCAGTAATCTGTACTATTTCAGAATTTTAGCAAAATTTATTGAATATATCATATAATGCATAAATAATGATTTCAATGATCTAAACTATTTCAGAATCTGTTACAAGTATGCTGTAATAGCCTACTGATAGGAATAGGGACGGCAGACTTTGTGCTGAAATTGTCCAACTTTTGTACTAAATGTCTATCTGCAGGTAAAGTGATCTCAGCATCCACTTTTTTTTCATCAATGCAAAATTAAGCCAAGAAATATTCAGAGGAAATAGAAATGGGTTTATTTTTATTTTCATGTGAAAATAAATACTGGATGACCTCATACAAGCCTAAGTTTAAGGTTTCAAGTTAATAGGCTTTATATTTTGATGTATGTGACATACTCTGCTCAGCACACATTAAACAAGTTTTCTTTTTGGCCTTAAGAGTAAATACACAACATCCAGTGTTTCTATTTTAATATTTTTCAGGACCTTATGTTCAGTCCCTCTGATAAGAGAGATAACTCTTCTGATAAGAGAGATAACTTTCTTCAGACATTTTGTCAAGAAATTCAGTGAATTATCATGTCAGAGTTTACAAGTTTCATTCATGGGAACCATTTTATAGTCAACTCAATCAAACTTATTCTATGGTACAAATGTTGATTTATAGTTTCTATTGCTAGTATGTACGTTAATGATTTATAATAATTTACTTAAAACATTTATAAACAGTTCCTTTAAACAGTGTAAATTGAGAAATCTCTATCTCTTTAAGTATAATTCTTTTAATTGTACAGAAATTTCAGATGCAATATTGTGTATAAACATTTAATTAATATTTTGTTTCATTAAAAAATATTTTCAAGGGCGATAATGGAACGATAACTCTTGTTTATGGATGCGTGTTATTTTACATGCACAGAAAACAATTTGTAATTGTGATTTAAAAAGCAGCGCTTCAGTATGTTTTCTAATGGGAATTAGATAGGTATGAGAGTAAATATTATTTTTATATATACCTCTCATTTCTAATTTAATTGTGAGATAAAAATAATAATTCTTTCTATTTACCATCTCAAATTTTCTTCACATCTTGATTTGACATTTTATTCATTTCTGAAAAAGTAAGCAATGCTTCATACTTCAAACTATTTTCCATTTAATTTAATGCTATAGTTGT